AATTTTTTGCTACTATTATCCTCATTTCACTCTTTATACTTGAGTGCATTGCAATTTTGATTCATTCCATTACCTTATTAATAAAATTTTGTATCATTGTTTAAAAAAAACTATTTACAAACGAACATTGATGCTAGGGTTTTCCTCTCGTCGTGTAAAGATAGAACGTGCGATGATGATAAGTCCCCCGATCAATTGAAGAAGAAGATCACTTAGAAAAAAGCACAAAGAAAATCAAAGCATTGCACTTAGGGATGACTCAAGGGTTAAAAATCTTGGGGTCATTGGAAGGATACGGTAGCAAGCTCTCCATTGTTTTTGGGTTTCTTTCATGGTGCAACCGACCTAGAAGAAGTTCATACTAGATCCGACTTAAGTATTACGACCAGATCTAGTTAGTCGCATAATGTATCCTAGAAATTTTTATAAATTTATACTCGTTTGAATACATAATTTTTTCATAAAAACTTTATTTATTAATAAAATAATATTTAAAATTTATTGAGTAAACCTCATAAATAAATAAATAAATATATATATATATATATATATATATATATATATATATATATATATATATATATATATAACCATGTAAATATCATGTGTATAGATATCAATAACGTCAAATATCAGAAATAAAACGTAAATATATAGTATTTATTAATACAATTTCATATCATAAAAAATAACTAAGGTATAGATAAAAACGGAAAGCAGTCAATTCTGGAAATGCCAAATCCAAAGTCTATTGTTTAGTAATATCTGAAAAAGTAAACAAAGGGGAATGAGCTAAAATGCACATTATGCTTTTTAAAGTATATATGCTCTTTAAAGTGTATATATATGTATATAATAAAAATTCTATAACGCTTAACAAGCATTGATGATCAATATTAAGTTAATTTATAAAATTTAAAATTCTAAAGTACTTAATGTATAATTATAAAATAGTTGAAAAATTAAAGGTAAATTATTTTAAATAAAGGGTAAATTATAACAGTGATCAACCTAATTAATGTACATCTTCATTTTGACCACTATTTTTGAAATTTTGTCAATCAAGTCACTCAACTATTTAAATACATTTAATTAAGCCACTTGTCGTTAATTTTTAACGGAGAAACTGATGTAACAGTTAAAATATTTGGTATAATTACACATTTGGTCACTGTTACTTATATATTATATCAATTTAGTCCTAATTTTAATAAATTAAAATAAACTTAAATTTTAAAATTTGCTCGTGGAAAATCTATCAACTACCTTCTTATTCTCCTGAAAGACGTAAAATAATTTTGTAGCATAACAAAAGCACCAATTACTGGTTTTTTCAGCCTTCCCACATACAGATCTAAAAGATCTCTTCATAATGCTTGATATTACCAGTAAAGTATCCTTTTTCCCTTCACCTTTAATGGGGTTGAAGAACATATCATAAAAGATTAATTGCACTGCACAGTTAATAGTACCCCACTACAACTTTCAATGTTGATATCTTACAAACTCAAGTGTCTTGCACAAACTCCTTTATATGTATATATATATATATATAGTTAAAGTTTTGTTTTGTCCTTTTTCTGTGCTAAAATTTAGAATTTGATTATTCTACTCTAATTTCACATAATTTAATCTTTTTACTTTTAAGTTAGGCCAAATTATTAATATTGCTGACTATTACTTTCAAGAAGTAGATTTTTTTTAAATAACGCCCTTAAACACTTGATCAACATGAAAAGTTTTAATGGATTAGTTAGTTGTTTCACTGGAGTTTTTTATTAAAAATTAATCATTCTTTTTATATGACAAATATTAGAAAACTTTCTTGTTGGTATTTCAATTGGAATAGCTGATGCTATTGCGAATTTGGATTAATTAATAATATAATGGTAACAGGGGACTAAATTATGTCATATTAAAGTATATGAATCAAATTTTAAAATTTGGCATAATAGAGGGACCTAAAACAAGAATTGGACCTATATATATATCATACTAGTAATCAAGTACTTTTCATGAGCACCATGTGTGCAATTTAACAGTATAACATGATTATTGATTTGAGGGAACTAAAAACAAAATTTTATGATTGAGGACATATAACTTTCAAAGGCAGTTATATGACTAAAAATCTAACTTTATTAGCATGATAGGGTAAAAAGAAATAAAGTTAGGGACATGGATATGGTATCGTTTGATTTTTGGGATCAAAATTGTTTAATTAATATATTTTTATAGAAGTCATTAATTTTATTAAAGAATGCATTAAATTATAATAGATATTTACAACGATGATTGTAAATTAAGAATTAATTAAAATATTTTCCAATAATTAAAACCAGTGACATATGATACCATTTGATTTGAGGGTTAAATTTATTTTAATTTATTAAAATTAGAATCAAATTGATATAATATATAAGTAACATTGATCAATGTGAATTATACAAAATATTTTAACTGACACATCAGCTTCTCCATTAAATATTAACGGCAAGTGGCTTAATTGAATGCATTTAAATAGTTGAGTGGCCTGATTGACAAAATTTTAAAAATGATGGTCAAAATGAAAAGGGACAATAGTTAGATAGTCACTTGTATAGTTTACCCTTTATTTTAAATAATTTACCTTTAAATTGTCAACTAATTTATAATTATACGTTGAGTCCTTTGAAATTTTAAACTTTTATAAATTAAATTAATGGTACTCATCGTTAATGGTACTCATCGCCGATCGTCGAGCTAGAAGAATCATCCTATATATAAAAGCACAAGTAAAAATTTATTTTAAAAATATGAAAACATGATAACTATCCTCGTTTGATCTCTAAAAATATATAGGATCCTCATAATTGCGGTTGGTAAGGACATTTTGCATATAGCATGAGGACATAAGATAAAAATGTACATTGTGCACGAAATAGAGGAACGTACGATGAAATCTTACAAGTTATAGACTAAACGTGAATTATTTCCTCCTATAACAACCAACCCCATGAAAATAATAAATATGCACGCATCTTAAAATAAACAATAATCTAACTTATTAAAATATGAAAAATTTTCAATAATCCAAAAAATTGTATACAGATTACGAGAAAAATGATAATCAGAAACTATACCATTAAAACATATGATATGCTCAGAAGTTTAGACTAATTCAGATAAATAAAACATAATGGTAATATAACACTATGAGGAACACACTTGTTGAGCTGACAAATTTGACAGAAAAATCTATTGCATGATCTGACTATCACGATCAACTACGGTGCCAAAACAAGAAATCTTTTGAATTCAAGAATTGTACAAATTTACTGAATGAGTGGTATCGAATCTGATGAATACTCAAACAAATAAAACATGAGTATCATTGTTATTTTACATTTGAGAGCAGCGAAAAGATACATTCCATAACAATCGAGACTCCTCCTCCATGCCCCCACAACGTCGAGTGCAAAAAGGTGTTCGACATATTCTTTATCAATTTAATGCTCTAAATCTCGGGTTAGTATTTTGTGCTAACCCGGAAGTGTTTAAACAAACCCTATTGGACTTGTAGGAGAGCTTGGTCCGTTTGGGATTGGATTGAGCCGGATTGGCCTTAAAAATGATATTTTTGAATTGTGACCAAAGTTTGAAGAACCAAGGAGGTGTTTATACCAATTTTCAAAACTAAGGATGAAAACCCATTAATTTGGGTGATTTAACGTTTGACTTCTTCCTCCTTTTCTCAACTCTCCTTTATCATCTTATTCACCTTCAAACTTCGTCTTCTTCCCTTAGAAGCTTGAACAAAGGTGGAAGGTTTGTTGGTATTTAATCCTAGTCCGGTTAGGTTAAGGTAAGAATCATAATCTTCACTCCTAAAGCTTTTATTCAAGCCCTCAAACACAATCTTTGGTTATGATTTTCAAAAACTGGTTTTGTGGGGGTTTAAGGAACTTGAAGGATTTAATCCGTTTTAAGAGATTTCTAGTCTTAGGAAGTGTTTTTAAACCCTTATAAACCTCTACACTCAGCTACCAACCCTTGTGTTTGATTCTTGCATAGTGAGAGAAGTTGGAGAAAGCTCCTAAGGTAGAGGAAAGGAGAAACCCACTCTTGGTTGAGGTCTTCAGAGCTCTCAATAGTTTAAATGATCAGGTTACACCCTTCTAACTTATTTCCACCACATGTAGATTATTAGGTATGTAATGGTAGGTTGCATGAGTTATGAATCATGTTCATCGTATATTGCATCTTTTGATGTTTAAGCATGTTAAAAAGCCCTTTTATAATCCCTTTAATCATACGTAAGACTTATATAATAAATGAGAACTTCAATAAGACCTTTGAAGTGGAAAGATAGCCTTTTTCGTGCCTAAAACAAGACATTTTTAGGCACGAGTTCTTCAGTCAGGGTAAAAATAGGCGAGTTTTGGGAAGGAGTGTTGTACTCATTCAGAGAGTATATATATATATATATATATATAGTAAATGATTGGAAATAAGTCATGAATATTTATGGTAAAATTTCTCTGCTTTACGTTTTATTTTATATTTGAATTGATATGACAAGTGAGCAATTTATATGTCAAAATTTATACAATAAGACAAAAATCAAATTATTTCAGTTGTTAAAAGAATAATTGATATTCGTAGAAGTTTCAGGTTTTAGCATCAATGATTGTAGGGTATTTGAACGTTTATTGTCAAATTGTTGAGAATATTTTAGAACAGATACTACCACTTGTAATCACCTTAGATTAATCCAAAAAAATTATATAATGCAAGATAAAATCCTCAAATAATGTTATAGAAAAAACTAAACAAAAAGAAAATAAAAATCTTAAATGAACAAAACACATTTGTTAATAAAATCCACGAGAGATTATCAATTTTAAAGTTAACCATAGGTCTATTATGAAGGTGGCCATTCAAATCCATTTTACTTTATTTGTAAACATTATATATTCTTGCATTGGGATCTAATAAATAAGTTTTTTTTCTTTTTATGGAACACAGAAGAAATAGAAATAAATGAATGAATTGAATATTAACTGATTCAGGCAAAGATGCCAGCACCATATGAAGATCGGATGATATCAACAAGGAGTGGGAACTGTAGGAAGGCAAACAAAGTGACTGGAATACAAGCAATCAAGGCTGTTGGGACAGCAATCCATGCCAATTTTTGGCTAAGCACAATGCAAAACGTTGCACCAAATGCTACCAGCATTGCTGCTATGGACAAGAAAAGAGTAGCAAGACCCACAATCAGTCTCTGTGGGAGCAACCTGAAGAAATCCTCTTCGGCGTAACGCGAAGTCAGGATCGATAAGAACATTAATATCGAGGTGACCGAAGAGAACAATGCGAATGCATCTGCCATAGCAAAAACTATGAAAGATTTAGATTCTAAATATATGGGAGTTCCTCTGATATTGTCATTGCCTCCTGGCACTGTAAAGATAGCAGCAAACATTACGGTTGTGATTAGCGTAGCAACGAGCATGCACGAGGAAGCAGTGCTCTTCATCCACTTCTCTCCTTCCTTGACCAATTCCACATGTTCTTCCGCGAACAACATTCGTGGCGTTTTGCCGTTGACGTCTCTCATTTCCTTGTACAATGGTTGCACATTCTTCCCTACTTCCTGTGATGATAAGAACAAACCAAATTACGACTTCTAATTAAGTCTAATGGTAAACCAAAATATTCAAAATTTGGTACAGAAATGGAGTTAATTTGACCTTAAACCACAATAGTTCTCTTTGCATTTGAAGAGCTGCACCAGATACAATATTAAGTCTATCTGGAGGAGCAATCTTTGCAGCTAAATGCAGTATGCAGTGGTTGTTTTTGTTTTTGTTTTCGTCTTTGTAAGCAACAATCATATCCTTATGTGCCCCAATATCATTGATAAGTCTAAAGATCTTCTCTTGACGATGAATGACGGCGATATGAAAAATGCTGCGGCTATCCTCATCGACTCTCCATATTAGATCGGGATAAGACTGTATAAGTTCAGCTACAAGCTCCACAACTCCGAATTCTGTTGCGATAAATAACACTTGTGAAGGGCTTCTTAGTATATCTGTAATTTGTGAGTCTTCTAATAATATAATTTGATCCCATAACAACATCACAAGGACAACGGCTTGCATATGCAGTAACTTTTTCTCATAAACAGCTTTATGTCCTGGGACTAGAGTTAAAAACAAATTAGATATCGGATTCTTAGCTATTCCAAAAGGAGAAGGGGGAAAAATCTAAATTTCATATCAGCACCTACTTGTTTTCACTATTGCATTCCAAAGTTCTCCGGCTAAGCCAATTAACACTGCAGACATTCCCAAAAAAACTTGTTAAACTTGAAGTTTTGATCAACCTGGAATACCATGAAACATGAAGTTTTCCAGAAATGCCCAAGTCTTAAACGAGAGAGAAACCTTGATTCGTATCACAGCAGCAGCGCTTTGATATGCCGGATGAGCATGTGCTTTTTACCACTGGTTCAACGTAGATCCCTGCAAGAGCGTACAAGGATATGTTATTATGATTACAGGACAATTTTTCTGGTTTTAATCTCAAATTAAAACTTACATGGGTAGATAAATTTCTCCCAAGTTCCCAGCTCACTTTTGCTGGCAAAGGCTGAAGGTTTTCGAGCTAAAACATGAAGTGCTGTCTCCCCATTCGAATCACGCAGAACAGCCAATTCTGGATTGTGCTGAATTAAGAACAGAGCTACATCTAAGTAGAAATGGAGAATGATTAGCTATTTTGTGAAGGAGGGTTCTTCCTACGAATAGTTCTTTGTAATTACAAATAAATGAACCATTATGGACCTACTGGCACTAACCCTGACTACATGCATAGAAAAACGTCTAATAGAATTCACTTCATAATCATAGTTCATACCAAATAAATCAGTGGCGATGGATGCTATAAGCAACCCAACGTGATCCTCCTGCGTAAGATCCTGAGCAGAAGTCACGTTGTAAAGATACCAGACCATGTCTCGGTCGCCAACCCCTGCAGCAATGTAGAGTGGTGTGATTCCCTTGTTCCCCCTTAACCCTGGCAACTTTTTGTTCTTTTTCACCATTACTTCTGCAATCCGTGTAACACCCGAAGCAGCGGCAATGCAAAGCGCGGTGTTGTTGTCCTTGTTCCTCCTTTCTAAATCTGAATCGCTCATCAATTTGACTACCTCCTCCACGAATCCAATGTGTTTGGCCCCTGCAGCAATGTGAAGAGCTGTTTCCCATCCCTTGGTTATCCTCACATTCACGGCACCCGGATGCATGTTTAAGAACTCTTTAGCTTTTCCCCAATCACCTTTCAATGCAGCTTGAAATAAAGGAGCATACAAGGTAAGCCGTGTCGAACTCCTATTTTTCCCTGCCACTATATTGAATATTAGAATTCGACAAATGAACTCGAAATATCATTTAAACCCTCGTTGATACTTACCAATCGTTGGAAGCACATTTGGTAACATAGAGGGTGGGGGAATTGCAAGAGAATGCTCTGGTATGAACTTGTCAACTACTTGAACAGGCGTTGCAGCACTAACATGAACGTTAATACCCATGTTGTTGACAACATGAGTCTGCTGCGAGAACCGTGCAGCACTTGCATGATCTTCCGGGGGGAGTGGGAGTTTACAGGGACTACTATTAAAAGGGCCGGAAACCGAGGGTCGCGTTTGTTCATCAAGGCTTGAGTTGGAGAATCTCTCCGGGGGACATGATCTGATAGAAGGATTCCTAACAAACATGTTTTCTTGTTAGTTTTAGACTTTGTTCCACTCATTATAGGCAAGTCATTCAACCTATATATATATGCATACAAGCAATGCCAAAGGATACACAAATCAAAAACAGGAGCAAAAACTTCTTACAAAAGGTCAACCGATGGAAAATGGGAAAAGGGAAACTTCCTAAAGCTTTACAAAAGGCCAACAGATGGAAAATGGGAAAAGAGAAACATCCTAAAGCTTTCTTTGCACGAGGAATAAAAATTTCAACATTATATTTATATAAATATATATATGATAGTACAAGGGAAAGTTCTTAGTTACTAGCCCGTTAAAGTCAAGGCAGCCCCGTCAGTAGGGCAGGAAGTGAAGTTAACGCGTTGGCAACGACTTTAAGGGAAAGTTCTTTTTTTTTCTGCATGGTAAAAGAGGGGAAGATGTTGAACAACACTGATCATGTAGGGTATTTCTTGTTTAGAATGTATTTGTCTAAGGACTTAGATTTGGTATATAGTGAGTCAAATAACTTCAAATTTATTTTATTTTAGAAGAATAAGATTTTTTACTCCTTAACTTTATCAATTTAGTCATTTTAGCCCTCAAACTTTTTTCACATTCTTTTTCGCCCTCAAACTTTTATTCTCTTGTCAAATTGACCCAGATGTGATGTGGCAAAACAATAATAATTTGAAATAGCTAATGTGGAAATTTCAGTAAGAAAAAATAGAGTTACGATTCAGTAACATATGGGTCAATATGAAAAAAAACAAAAGTTTGAGATAAAAAAACAATGATAATTTATGCGCTAAAATGACTAAACTAGTAAAGTTAAGGGACCATGAAGTCCTCAGATTCTAGCATAAAAGTATGTAAAATAAAAGGTAAACTATACCATTGACCACCCAACTATAGCCCATTTTCATTTTGACTACCATTTTTGAATTCTCTTGAATCAAGTCACCCAACTATTTAAATGCATTCAATTAAGCCACTTACCGTTAACGTTTAATGGAAGCGCTGATATTAGGGGTGTTCAAAAACCCGAAACTGTTAACCGTAACCGTTAACTGGTATAATCGTCATATTTAACAGGTTAATTAATCGAACTGTTAATATTAAACGGTTTTGGTTAATTGAACTGCTAAAAGTGATAGTTAACGATTAAGGTTACAGTTACAAGTTTTGATGAACGTCGTTGGTTAACCGTTAAGAAATTAAATTTATAATTATGTTTCTAATTTATTATATTTTTACACAAATAACCTAATATAAGTTTTGATGAACGGTTAATTGTTGGTTAACCGTTATGAAATTAAATTTATAATTATGTTTCTAATTTATTATATTTTTACACAAATAACTTAATATAATTTTCTATGATTTATAATATATATATATATTTAATAAATTTTGTATGCAAATAATTTAATATATATATATATATATATAATCATTTTTATTTCTTTGAAAATATAGAAATATTCTTACACCAATTTAATTATGTGTTTATTGTTAAGTACTAAGATACTTGGAGATATACATAATTACACCGATGTAAGTATGCGTCAAATGTTATATTTTTTTATTTTGTTTACTTACATCGGTGTAAGTATATGTTAAGTTATATATATTTTTTGTAGTATGAATTATGAAAAAATTTGATAAATAATTGTAATAGGTTAACCTGGTTAACCTATAACTGAACCGTTAATAATGGTTAATCGTTTCTCAACGGTTAAGTTACAATTAGAAAAATCTCATAATCGTTATAACGGTTAACCGATCGTTTAGGCTAAACGGTACGATTAACTGTCCATGAACAACCCTAGTTGATATCGCAGTTAATAAAATTTGTATAATTTAAAATTTTTATTCCTCCAATCAAATGCTGACATATGGCACCAATGAATAAAAATTGAGTTGATTTGAAATACTGTTGCCATAGAGAATTGTTCCCCGGTCTCCAAAGAGTTAAGCGTCCACTCTACCACTGCGCCCGCAGCAATTTTTGGCTAATGATTCGCAACATTTAATATTTAACTTATATTAAAGAAGCTAAAATACAAAAGGAAAACAAAAGTAGCAGTAAAACAAATCTAACCTTAGACTATTACGAAATATAAAAAACTTACACTTATAATTCAAAATAAATATTATTAAATAATTAAGAATATTAAATTTAATTTAAAATATAAACATAATAAATTTATTTTTATTTTGACTACACTTTTAAAAATATATATATATAACATGTATTTAATTATTAACTGATAATTACATCATTTTTAGTTAGTTAAGTTTTTTTTCTATTTCTTAATAGGCCAAAATTTAAGTAGTTAAACACTAGTTTATGCAATATTAAAAAAAGAGATTTAAGATTTGTACAAGATTAAAATCAACTTCCAGTTACACATTTTAACTATATGATCCAATAAAAAGATTAATTAAATATAAATGATTCGTACACTTTATTTTTTAATAAAAAGTGAAATTATTAATTAACAATTAAATAAATATTAATAATTAAATACATATTATATATTTAGAAATGTAGTTAAAATAAGATCTAAAATAAAAATAAATTTAATATTTTATATTTTAAATTAATTAATAATAAGTTGTTTTTCTTCTATATTTCGTAATAGGTTAAGGTTCGAGTTGTTTTATTGTTACTTTTGTTTCCATTTCTTTTTTTGGCGTTCCTTATAATATAAGTTAAATAACTAATGTTGTGGAAAGCTTATCAAACGTAGTTGCTGTTTCTTCTTTGCGATGGAATTGATGGGAGCAAGTTTTCAGATAAACATCAGCAGCAAAATCTTAAAAAAAAATTCAAGGACCAAGCGTACTTAAAGGACCAAGCGTTTTAAAGGAATCCATTTTCTTCAAAAAAAAAAAAAGACATAAAATTTGTTCAAATTCAGCAATGCTACCCACCCTCGCCTTATCAGCCTATCACTCTGAAAGATGCAGAAATTTATCACAAATTGAAAATGATTCAAGATGGGCTGGATCCAGGAAAACTGCAATGGGAGGCTACATTGGGCTTCCTTTGAAAAGTTTTCAATGTTGTTTCTTAATTTTCTCTATTGTTGGTTTAATGGTACACGAGGCCCTCAAACTCAAGAAAAATTTAATGAGGTCCTGTGACCAACAACTTCCGTTATTGACTGTTACGATGCTGACGTGATGATCAACGGTGACTAATTATGCGTTATATTGATTTTTTTTTGTAGAGTTTGAGGGTCAGATTAACACTTTTTAAAAGTTTAATGGCTTGTTTAAATTTTTAAAAAATATATTTTAAATTTTAAATATAAAATTATCCAAAAAAAGTAAATATAAAAATACAAAAATAAAAATCAAATTAAAAAAAAAATAAGAATATATATACTAAAAGTACTATTCATATCAACTAAACATGTATGAAACATGGTCATGCCCATAAATAACTTCAATAGAAAGAGAGACTATAAAGTACTATTCGGTGTTGTTTAATTTCAAAAGAAATTAAAATATCATCAATCGAGTCCTCTAATAAGTCAACAACTTCGATTTAAGCATAAAAATTATGGGATAAGAAGGAAAAGTATCACATGTAATGGTCAAATGGTGAAACATCAAGCATAACATAATATATAACATGTACATGTTCACAAAGATCTAAAAAAACAAGACATATAATATTTTTTTTTATTTTTATTAATTTAACCATTTTATAGTTTGTGATGTATTTTTAATTTTAATAGATTTTAGTATTTTTAATATCGGTCGCATCGAGTTCACCAACGGCATTCGCCGCTTTCAGCCACTACCGACGATGACAGAAATAACTGACGTGTTTTTTTTAATTAAAATGATAAATTATTAATAAATAAGTGACGACTTCAATGACTTGGGCGCCCACATCTCTCATCTTCTTCACAACATTCGGACCTTTCAATCTTTTCTGGGTCAATATCTTGAACCCACTGAAACACCAACCCAGTCGAGGGTTATATCAGTATTGTTCAAATTGGTCTTCAAATTATCCACTTGCACGACATGATACATAGAACAAAAGCAATTAACCTATTCAGTGGATAAGGAAGAGTGTTGTTTTTTTTTTGAGATTTCATGTCCGAATAATTACGTCCATAAGATATGTGTGTATTATCTGTTAAGAAAATATATGAACAAATGCTACTATGTAAACAAATTTTATTGTCAACTTTTTTCAACATATAACAATTATAAGCAATGAACTAAAGGGTATTGTGGTGTGGTTGCACCCTTGAAAAAAGTCAAGTTTGAGATGGATTGTAATGTGTACCACTTTGACAATATGAATGGAACCATAATCTCTCTCCATACATGAAAGTAGCATCCACCATTTATGTTGGTCACTATGACTTTAAGGATTTAAAAAGATTTAACGCAAAAATAAGTGATAAAATTATACTCAAAGTTCAAACTTAATGTTTAAAGATTTTTTTCGTTAAAAATAAGTGTTTAATGTTTCACACGCTACACTTTTAGGTGTCTGTCATTAAATTTGACTGTTAAATGACACGTGCCGAGCTTATAAAAATTTTAAAAAAATATTCAAAAAATTGTGAAATTTTATATGTCTGACCTTAACGGTTAAATTTAACAATGGTAACGATCCAGACACCTAAAAGTGTAACATTAGAAAAGTTAGACACCTATTTTTAACGAAAAATTATTTAAACACCTTAACTTTAAGCATAATTTGAACACTTATCTTTACATCGTACCTTTTTAAAACTTGAAAAAGGAAAACAAAATCCTTGTACCTCAAGATGAGTGCTGGTTTGATTTGCACTAAGCCTCCATTAACGGAATCGAAAAGGACCCAAAAGTTTTCAAGGCAAAGCACAAGGGAATTACTATATTTTATAGTGGGAGAATACAATGTGATCACCCATCTCATCTTTGCTAACACCTTAAACAAATATCGCTCTTTTTAAACACATTAAATAAACTCAATAATAAAAGAGACGTTAAAAATTCTGGATTTGAACAGTCGTGTCTAA